AGCGGGCAGTGGCTCTTGCTTGGCTTTGAGGAGCGCGGGCGGAGTTGGTGGGCGGCGGGTAGCGAACGGTGGCCGGAGTTGTGCAGCGCGACCGCAGGCGGGCGGCGGGCGGACTTGTGTTCTGTGCGCGTAGGCGGGCGGCGGGGGGATGCGCGGCGCGCAGGCGAGCGGTGGAAGGACGGGTGTGCGGCAGCTGGTGGGGCTCGTTGCTGTGGCGGGCGGCAGGCTAGAAGGGCTCGCTGCTACAGTAGGTGGCGGTGGGCATCCTTAGGGCCGCACCACGTAGGCGGCCAGGCGTAGGTGAGCAAGTCTTCAGCTCAAGCCGTTGGCGCTCCTCTCTTTCCCTCTTCTCTGTCGGAGCACCGCCGCGCTGCTCGACATTGACATTCGTCGCTGTTGTTCCATCTTCTCCCAATTTCCCGAGCTCCTAGCTCCGCCTAGTTCTTGCTGTCCTCCTCGAACCGCGGTAGCCACATCTCGTCGCCGCAATCGCCTTCGGCATCGGTTGCCGCCGTGGCCGTGCCACCATGGCTGCCATGGGCAGCTCGCCGTGGCCAGCTCATTCCGGCGCTCCTCTGGCGATCAGGTGTGCTCTGACCATGCTTCACCATCTCGAGCTGTAGGGGATCGCTAGCGTGCTCAACTCTCCTCCCTGGTCCTCCCTGCTCTCGTCTTTAGCCTCCTGTTCTCTGACGTGTGCTTCTCTGTGAACAGTGGTGAGCTTGTGTGATACTATGTTGAAGTTGCTTGTGTGAAACTTGCAATGTGAACTAAGTCTACTAAAAATGTGATTTTTATTACTAAAGCATTGATGAATTTGCTTATATTCTTCCATTTTCACTCCAGCCATTGACAAACCAGCAACAATACATATGTAATAATATATAGATAGATGCATTTCTAGCCAAAGTATGTGACATAGTTTACATCACAGAGTTTTACTACTTCATCACAGTACTTACATCATCACGAAAAATACGTCATCACAGAGTTTACATTCACATAGTTTCATCAGCAAAAGTTAACACAACATCACATCATCATTAGTTGTTCGCCGGTGGCGGAGGCATGGCACCCTGCAACTTGCTCTGGAGGTCATGCACATTCTAAACCATGGATGCCAGGTGGTCACCAAGGTCATCTAGGTTCTTCTTGAGATGCTTCTCCTTCTCTTCATTCTCAGCCGTCTCTTTCTTGAGTTCGTCAACACTCCGCTGAAGATGGCCTATGCTCTTCATGATGGGTTTTAGAACCACTGCTTGCAGGGCCTCGTGCATGGTACTTAGAGGGAGCTGATAAGATCGAACCTATATGCACAGAAGCAGTTATAGGAACATATATGAAAATCCAGCATAAATCTAGATAATGTGACAAAAAACCTACATATAAGTTTCATTTGCATTCATATAAGTTTTATTATCCAACATACATATCAGAATCATATAAGTTTCATATAATCAATTATAGGCTACAAAGTCTATGACCTTGTGAACACTAGAATCATAGCAAATTAGAAAAATAAAAACATCTAGCTACTGCTAACAATGCACATAAATCCTTAGAGGTGCCCCAAAGAGATGAAACCCAATCTACTCAAATCACAATATTGAAATATTCAAGTGGCACCATCAAAATTATTCACAAGATTAAAATCATTGATCTATGATAAATATCTAGATAAAGCAATCTACTCAAATCACAATGCTGCTGCAAAATACAATATATGATAGTTTACATTGCTTGTATAAAAACTTGAGTTGCATCTGCATTTATTCTACACTAAGTTGTTTTCTCTGCTCCATCTGGGTCCAGGATGAGAGAATGGCATGAGCCAAATTATTTTAGCAACAAACTCATCCAATTCAGAGGCTACCAACAAAACTGTCATGAAATTAAGAAAGAAAACCTACATATAAGCAGTTGTAATCTAAAGAGTGTGCATTATTTGGCCATGGGTGGAGCTTGAACCACTGACTTCGTTGTGGTTGACGCCGCTGCGGATCCATAAACGACACGTCCTGGCTCCTCCCTCGAAGCAGTGGTCACACATCTTGGTGGCCACTGCCCTCGGCGCTGCGGTCGAGGAAGAAGGCACTGCCACCGCTTGCATGGCCTTCCTCTCCTTTCCTCCTCGCCTCCATAGGTTCTCCTTCCTCCTCGCTATCCGAGTCCACCGTGAGCACCACCGCTGGCTCCTTGACCGCTGCCCTAGACGCTGCCACCGAGGATGAGGGCGCCACGGCCGAGGAAGAGGTCATGTCTTGCCTAGCCTTCTTCTTCACCACCGCCAGCTACTTCTCCTTCATCAATGCCGCCAGGTGCTTCTCCTTCCTAGTGATGATGGCGGCCTTCTTCTTCAACCCCGGCGGGGTGGCCAGGATGCCTTCTTCTTGAAGGCCGGCGTCTTCTCGAACCCTGGCGTGGGGCTCACCTCCTCCTTCACCACTGCCAAGGATGAGGAATGGCGGTCAAACCTCCCCGTCTTCTTGTCTCTTAGGTTGTGCCGCCTCTCTAGCCTCGTCATCTTTGACTGCGGCGGCTGTGGGTATGGCCGTGGCGGTGGGCCAAGGAGGTGAGAGGAGTAGAGGCAACTGCACGCGCGGCGAGGAAGGGGAGAGAGGAGTGGAGAGATGAGAGGGCAGAGTGAATGCGAGGGCTGCACGTGCGGTAGGGAAGGAGAGAGAGGAGTGGAGAGACGAGAGGCCGGAGTGAGTGCGATTGAAGGAGTGGCACTTCCAATGCTTTGAACTACCACTCCTCTCTCTGTTGGAGTGGTGAAGGGACGCCCTTCGGATGCGGATGGCTACGTCCAGTTCCTCAATTAGCTTACTACAGATGATTGTTAATAACATGGGTCTGAAGTAGGACCCTGGCAGGACGGCCCCACCGTCACCCAATTTTAATGTATTGGAAACCTTTTAAAAAATAAACACCGCTCCTCGTTTGAACTTACGAATGTAGCGCAATGGTTAACTCACGGGGTTATGGGCCTAAAGGTCTGGGATCGAATCCCCATAGGGGTATAAATTTTTGCCTTTTATTTTACTACTACGTACACGTTTTTACAACACACGCCCGTAATAGAAATCTTTGTGGATGAATGCTTAGTTTGGTTGACATAAAGATTTCAAATCAAAAAGTTGTCAACTACAAAGTTTCATAACTTTTTGACATCTACAACTTGTAATTTGATAGTTTCTCCATCCGAGGTCATTTAAAAATTCAAAATTCAAATTTCAATTTTTTGGAAATTTAAACTTAGTTTTCCATGACAAGATGATTTCAAATGAAAAAGTTGTCAACTACAAAGTTTCATGGCTTTTTCGAGATCCACAACTTTTATTTTGTTCTTTCTCCATCCGAGGTCATTTGAAAATTCAAATTTTAGTTGTTAATTTTTAAAATCCGGCGTCTATTTGTAGAGGCGGCTCAATAGAGTAGTGTGGAACATCACAAATAGCAATATAACATGAATTACAACTAAAACATCTCGCCATCAATCGCTACTTAGGATCGAACATCAACCATCACCAAAAGCAAAAGTTTCAATCATGTCATCCAGATATATATACATATCAACACTCATGCGCACTGGTAATCAAGGAAGAACCTACGACACTCATTGTGGATCCTACACTCCTCGCTGTAGAATAGGGCCCACTGCTCCCATGCTACCCATCCGGCGATGTCACCGCAGCCTCTGCCTCGACACTGATGCCCGTCCTGGAGAGGCACCGAATGGGCCAGAGGAGGCAGATCAGGCCTCGCTGCATGGCGTGGCACCACCAAGTCATCCTACAACACCACCCTAGCCTGTTGGCGGCGCCATGCAGAGTTCTTGTTCTTCCACGTCGCATTCTTCGCCGCCAGGCCTACTTCATCACATTCGACCTTTCACAACAACCGTCGGGTAGTGGCGTCATTGGTGGCACCATTATTGGACCTGTGGAGCACAAGAGAGAGAACATATGTAGCCTGTTCATGCCCTGACTTGGCGGCGCGCTCTAGCATGTCGAGCCACGGCGTGACGGTGCCGCGGTCTTCCACGAAGATGGCAGACATCCAGCTTTGAAGCAGGCCTTTGGGCGGCTGATGCTGGCGAGCCTGGTGATGAGGTTCGTGCGATAGTCGCGTGAGTAGAAGGGCTCCCAGCCCGCACACTATAGCACCGGCTCTAGTGGTATGCTCCGTCCCACGTAGGCGTCACTGCACGCCCTTCGCATCTATGAACATGATGCCTGTAGGCTACCGAGGTCCTCCATGGGATCCGTTGTGGCCTTGGTGACATGGCTCGCAACCTCAGTAGCCTACTCCGACGGAAGCTTCTCCATGGCGGCGGTGGCGGTGGTCAGGGGGAACGATGTGAAGGCAGAGAGCTAAGCGTGCTGGGGAGAGGTGGATCGCTGGGGAGCAATGCAAAAGGTGAGTTTCTTGAATGAAGGTGGAGAGGTGGAGCGGCAGAAGTTTCTTGAATGAAGGTGTGCAGCAATGCAAGGTGGAGAGGTGGGATTTTATGAGCGCGCTCAGTTCTTGAAGTTTCTACACGGCCACGAAAATGGTGAACGTCATAGCGGTGTGAACCACGTAGACCACGTAAACGCGTCTGTAGTTCCCTAGGCTGCCCCTTGTTTTGTTCTTGTATTTACTACACGCGTCTGTAGTATAACTGCTGGCTTATTAATTCCTATTGCAATCTGATTCAATTAGATTAATTAAGGAATATAACATTCCAGCCTTCACATTCACAAGTGACAGCAAATTTGGACAAATTTCAGTTGCATTTGTCACTATGTTCATTCACCATTTTAGTTGCATTCAACATCTACACATAACAAATTTGGACACCAAATTCCATCCATCCATTCATTCATTCATCCAGTTGCATTGAACATCCAGTTTTATTCATTCAATCAATGCATTGGGGATTACTTCATTACAGCATACATCAGAACACATCCAAGGACAACACAGACAACACACACAATAAACATGTTCATCTTCTACTTCAAATTCTTTAGCTTCTGCTCCAAGTTTTTCTTCTTGGTGTCACCATTTGGACTGTCCACTGAACCTTCTTCTTCATCTAGCAGCTCTACCCAATTCAAAGGGTGAACAATTATGATGCCACAATCCTTCAACTGCTAGAAGTACTCCTTTTCGAATCGATAGTAACCACACAGCTCAGGAAACTGAAAAACAACCACAAATTAGAACCCTAACTGTGCAAATTAGGGAGGATAACACTACAAAGAACTCACCCCATTCCTAGCACACTTAAAGTAGAGTCGGCCGTGGTTGTCACCATCCTTCTTGGTCCATCCCTCCACCACCCGAGCAAGACCGCAATCTGGGCAAGGGATCATCGAGAACCCACTGAGCTCACCAACTGGATCCAAAACAACACCATGCTCAGAGCCAATGTGGGTGCTGCGGGCACCTTGAAGCCTACTCCTCACCCGTCCACCTCCAGATGACTCCGCGAAATGAGACATCGCGTCTTGAGCTGGGAGATGGGACGGAGAGTTTGGCGGCGGCGGCAGCGGAGGAAGGCAGTGAGAAGAAGTGAGGCAGATAGAGTGAGGCAGAGATAGAGGGAGATGGAGGCGGATATATATTTAATTTGGTCCAACCTTGCTACAGACATGTGTTAATAACGCGTGTCTATAGTACTTTGCCTGCGTACTTAGCCATTGGCACGTGCTAATGGGAAGAGGGAGTGGCTTGTGTACTTGGCGCATATGGAACACAGTTGGCAGTGGCCATTGTCATGATGCTATGGCGAGCGGTAGGTCGAGGGGCGCGCTGCTACAGCGAGTGGTAGTGGGCGGCCATAGGGCCACGCCGCCTTCTCAAACTGTAGGTAAGCTCAAGCCGTTAATGCTCCTCTCTTTTCCTCTTCTCTACCGGAGCACCGCCGCGCCGCTCAACGGCGAAATTCGTCGCCGTTGTTCCATCTTCTCCTAATTTCCCATGCTCCTAGCTCCGCCTAGTTCTTGTGGTCCTCCTCGAATTGCTGTAGCCACCTCTCACCGCCGCAATCGCCTTCGGCGTCGGTTGCCGCAGCGGCCATGCCACCATGGCCGCCATGGGTAGCTCACCGTGGCCAACTCGTTCTAGCGCTCCTTTGGTGATCTCGTTTATTATTTTAGCTCTCCTGCAACTCCATGATGCTCATTGGCTCCATTCTTGTACCTCTAATGCGTAGGTCATGCCGGAACGACGACCTCGCCACTAGTTCACGTCGCCGCACGTGCCATCACCGCTGGCCATCTAGCTCCGCCTCATCCCAGGTTCAACCAAGCAGGGCATCGACATCACGGTGAGCTACTGATGCTGCCTGAGCCCTTAGACTAACCTATACCATGTTGTATCTATCGGAGCATCGCTGCACTGTCGTTCTGTGTTCGCCGCACCGCCATGGCTATGGTCGAGCTCGAGTCTGACTCTAACTCATTCCTCTATACAGTGTACTCAATCAGGCATGCTCCAACCATGCTTTGCCATCTCAAGCTATAGGGGATCGCTGGCGTGCTCAGCTCTCCTCCCTGGTCCCCAGTGTGCTTTGCTCTTTGGCCTCCTGTTCTCTGGCGTGTGCTTCTCTGTGAACAGTGGTGAGCTCAGCAAGAACTTTTATGAGCTTGTGTAAAACTGTGATGAATTTGCTTGTGTGAAACTTGTAATGTGAACTAAGTTTACTGGAAAAATGTGATTTTTATTACTAAAGCATTGATGAATTTGCTTATATTCTTCCATTTTCAATCTTCTTTTGTAGACTATGGAGGATCGAGGCCACTGGATGTATCTTCAGAACCGTACTTGTAATGAGTACTTGGAAGGACTAAAATATTTGCTAGCTATTGTAGAGGCAGACATGAGGAATGGACATAAGTCATCTATGTGTGCCCATGTGTTGACTGTAAGAATGAGAAGCAGTACTCGAATCGGTTATTAGTCCATGCCCACCTAATTCTTCGAGGATTCATGGATGACTACAGATATTGGAACAAACATGGAGAAGAAGGTGTCAATGAGCGACATCGTAAGGAAGAACTTCATGAAACTTGTGCCGGTGGCAATGAGGAAGCACCCTTTGGCAATGAGGAAGAACCCTTTGGCAATGAGGAACTATGTGATGATGATGTAGCAGAGATTGCTGCCAGCCATGTCCCTATGGTTGAGAATCAGGAGGAGATGGTACGTGATGCCTTTGGCTTTGATAAGTACACTGGTTCAGAGTTCAAGAAGCTAAAGCAGCTGTTGGAAGATATGAAGACACCACTCTATCCAAGTTGCAATGAGAGGTATACGAAGTTGTCTGCTTCACTAAAGCTTCTCCAACTGAAGGTGGCACATCAGTGGACTGACAAGGGCTTTAGAGAATTGCTAGAAGTGCTCGACGATATGTTTCCCAAGGGGAATCAAACACCCAGGACTACATATAAGGCTAAGAATATTGTTTGTCCGATGGGATTGAAGTTTGAGAAAATTCATGCTTGCAAGAATGACTGCATCCTATTCTGTGGTAACAATGCAGCCCTCACTGAATGCCCCAAGTGTGGGGCCTCTCGTTACAAGTGAAGAACTAACGAGGGTGATGATGGCGAGGAGACACGCCATAGAGTTCCTAGGAAGGTTGCTTGGTACTTCCCTATAATTCCTCGCCTAAAATGTTTGTTTACAACCTCCAAGGATGCACGACTGTTGAGCTGGCACTCGGATGGGCAGACTGTTGATGATTACATATGGCATCCAACAGATGGTATTTAGTGGTGGGTCATTGATTTCAAGAATCAAACTTTTGTTGATAAGCCAAGGAATCTTCAGTTTGCACTCAACACGGATGGCATGAACCTATTTGGTAACATGAGTAGCTCACATAGTGTTTAGCCCATGCTGTTAACTATCTACAACCTTCCCCCATGGCTGTGTAATAAGAGGAGGTACATGATGATGTCAGTTATGATATCTGGTTCGTGTCAACCAGGTGTTAACATCGACATGTATCTGAGGCCGCTTATTGATGATTTCAAGGAACTCTGGAAAGAAGATGGTATCAGGGTGTACGATGGGTTCAGGAAAGAACATTTCAACCTACGTGCCATGCTCCTCACCACTATCACTGATATTCTAGGACATCGTAGCATGTCTAGGTAGAGCAAAGGAGAAATGGACTGCTTTCATTGCTTAGATGACACGTAGACTGTTTGGCTGAATAACTTAAAGAAGAGGGTCTATGTAAGGTACCGACATTTCCTTCCTAAGTCAAATCCATATCGGGAGATGAAATGTCAGTTTGATTGCACTAGGGAGATAGGATCTATAGCAAGGCATTTTAGCGGGCAACAGGTATATGACCAGGTGGTAGAGGATACCACGCCTAAAGTTGACCCAGAGAGCACTATCATTGGAAAGCGAAAGCACAGTGCAAAAGCAAAGAGTGTCGATAAGAAGAGGTGGAAAAAAATGTCAATCCTGTGGGAACTGCCTTACTTGAAAGACATAGCAGTCCGCCACAGCATCGATCTCATGCACATGAAAAAGAATGTCTGTGGAAGTTTGCTTGGGACACTCATGAATGACAAATGGAAAACCAAGGACCATGCAAAAGCAAGGGCTAACCTAGAGGAATTGGACATAAGGCCCAAGCTCCGTCCTGACGGTACCGATGCCCAGCCACCTCTATCTGCCATAAACCTGACCCAAGAAGAGAAGCAGGAATTGTGTGACTTCTTTCGTGGTGGCAAACTTCCCTCTAGATACGCAGCCAACATCCGAAACTTGTGCCTACAAGAGAAAACAAGATGCTTCCCATGAAGGCTCATGATTGCAATGTCAAGCTCACAATGTTGGTTACATTTGGTATCCGGAACATATTGCCAGAAAAAAACCTGAATGGCAATCATGAGCCTCTGCTCCTTTAATGCAATCTCTCAGAAGGTCATTGATGAACAATCACTGGAAGATCTTGAAAAGAACATGATTGAGGTGATGTGTCTCCTTAAGGCTTACTTCTTGCCGACTTTCTTTGACATATCCGTCCATCTCATTGTACATTTGGTTAAGGAGATCAGGTATCTTGGACCGATGTTCCTCCACCACATGTATCCATATGTGAGATTTATGAGCACTCTGAATAGGTATGCCAAGAGTCAGGTCCATCCTGAGGGAAGCATGCGCAGTGCTATTCTACTGAGGAGGTGGTCGACTGGTGCCTCGGTTACATGGAGCCCACCAATCCAATTAGCATCTCCAAGTCTCACCATGAGGGAAGGCTAGCGGGCTGAGGGTGTGTTGGGGAGAAGCACATTACTCCAGAGAGAGATGCCTATGAACGAGCCCACTTTCTAGTGTTGCAGCACATAGTAGAGGTGGAACCTTACATTGAAGAGCATGTGGAGATATTGAGGCAATAAAACTAGCACCGGGGCGAAGCTTGGTTAGCGAGGGCACATATGAGTGGGTTCAACATCTGGTTCAGAGATTGACTTGCCAGTTCAACCTCTTGCACAGATGAAAGGCTTCAAAAGCTGGCAAAGGGGCCTTTCTTCACAGTCACAACCTATCAAGGCTATGACATAAGTGGATATACCTTTTACACCATTGATAAAGACAAGAAGAGCGTGTACCAGAATAGTGCTATTCATGTAGATGCATTTGACAGCAAGATGCAGAAAATAGTGTACTATGGTCAGATTGAAGAGATATGTGAACTCTTGTATGCAGGCTTCAAGGTGCCTGTTCTTCGGTGTCGATGGGTTCAGGGAAGTCAGGGTGTCATGAAAGACAGGTATGGCGTCACTACGGTTGACCTCAACCAAGTTGTGTACAGGGATGAGCCATTTGTAGTTGTAAGTCAGGTTTCTCAAGTCTTCTATGTGCACGACACTAGAAACAAGAAACGATAAAGTGGTTCTCCCTGGGAAAAAGCGGGTTGTCGAACTTGAAAATCCAGTGGACGAGGAAGGGTTCAATCAATCCAATGAAGTGCCTCCTTTGGATACTTCCATCCTCCCTGTGATTTTGGTGAGTGAGCTAACTCCATACCTAAGAGATGGCCGTAAAGAGGTTGCCCCATGGCAAAAAGACGCCGAAAATGGCAAGTACGCAAAAAAAGATGCTCATGTGAGTTTTTGAACAATGTGCAATCTCATTTTTAGTTAACAATATATATTTGTCGTCGCTCTTACTTACAACGTGATGTAACTTTCAGGAACTTTCAGGAAGGGATTCTGGCTAATGAGAGAAGTTCATGTCATCAAGGATGTAAATTGTAGAATGAGACATGTAAATTGTACTAGATAAGTTCATGTCATCTAGTCTAGGATGTTAAGCCCACAACTCCTTGTAATGTGTATGGTACCTTGTGGATGTATGCTGAAATTTGCTTATCAAGACTACTTCATTTCATTTGTCTCATGACATGCATAGGGTATGTATGCTGCTAGAATTTGATGTGTCATATCAACACACATATGAGCAGCACACATAATCA